CCCCAGCCACAGCGGCTCAGACCCGGCTCCTCCTGGGCTGCCAGGGCTCAGCTGACACAGCCCCCCGCTCGTCCCACAATGCCATGCACGTGCTCTGACCGGAGCCCCGCCGCCCCTCACTTCCCGACACAGAAGTCCCTGAAGATGATATCCAGGATCTCCTCGGCGCTGACCCGGCCCGTGATCTTCCCCAGGTGCCTGCGAGCCAGCCGCAGCTCCTCAGCAGCCAGCACCAGACCCAGCGAGGCCAGGCAGCTGGTGAGGTGGAGGCGGTGCCGTGCCTGCGTGAGGCTCGGGGAGCCGGCCAGAGGGTCGCCGCACCTGGCGGACAAAAAGAGGGGTCACACCCATTTCCCGGCTCACTTAGGAAACCAAACAGAAGCTTCGGGCAGCTGGTGGCATTGCTGCCTTCTGCACTGCTGTGTGTCATAAGCCCTGTACTGCTTGCAGCTGATGGCGATTCTCCTCTAGCTCCAGGGGCGAGTCCTAGTCCCACTGCCACCAGAGTGGAGCCCGAAGGGGGCACAGACCTGAGACACTACGGGCAGGGAGCCAGTTGCCGGCTTTGCCAGCGGGAACAGCTGGAAATCAGAGGCCTCTCAAAGCTCTTGCCCATTCTCGTGGCTCTGGTTTTCCTGCAGAGCAGTGTTTGTGCTTTGAAGGAGGCGGGGTTGCCTAGTGGTCAGAGCACCAGGCTGGGGCTCGGAGAGCTGGACTCTACTCCCAGCTCTGCCACGTCCTGCGGAGTGAGGTTGGGTGAGGACACGTTGCTTCGCCTCAGTTTCCCCTCCCACCATTTATCGATTCAGGCTGCGAGCTCCATGAGGCAAGGCCGGTTATCGGTGCAGCGCCTGGCCCAGCGGGGCCCTGATCTCGCCTGCAATACTGACAATGGGCTGCCCCAGCATGCATGGGGATCAAGGCCCTGCTGGGCTGGGCGCTGTGTGGACACGGAGGGGACGGAGCTCACCAGCGGGCCGGAAGAGGCTCCATTGTTTAGAGCCAAGCCGGCAGCGGAGTTAACTCCCCACAGAGTTTGCAGCATCTTCCCGGATTTCCAACAGCTCCTACCAGCCCTGTTCCCAGCCCCGTACAGCGCCCCCCTGCCAGGGGTCCCACAGCACCCTCCGGCAGAGAGCAGCTCCCCAGGGCCCAGCTCCCAAGACCCCACCCC